ATGACTTTATTTGACTTCTTGATTCTCTGACAACACCCGGTAAGCTCTTAATATGTGGGGACTTTAATTACCAAGACAACTGACAGAGATGCGCAGAAGCTGCTCAATATTCTGGAAGCTCATGGTCTAACTCAAGTTATACATGAGCCAACTCACGCTCGGGGACATATGCTAGACCTGGTGATTGTGTAAGATTTGATCATTCTGTAAGATCTGATCACTACAGTGTCTTGTTCAATGTCAACATCTCAGTTTAAAGATGAACCAGAAACAACATCTCATTTGGCAAGTGGAAGGACATTGATCTTCTAGAGTTTCAGCTAGATATGACTACAGCTATTTCTAGCTCTTCAGATCTCACCGCCAGTGAATATGTTACTCTGTATGACACTCAGCTCAGGAAACTTGCTGACCATCATGCTCCATTGAAGTCCTGTACTGTAACTCTTCATCCAGAATCACCCTGGTATAATGACGACATTCGATCAGCTAAACGCCCGAGGCGCAAACTCGAGAAACAGTTTAGACACACCAAGTTAGCAATTCATAAGCAGATGCATGACAATCAGAGACGTCATGTTCACTCTCTTATGGATACAACCAAGTCAAGCTATTACACAGCTGCACTGCAGGATGTGGATGGACAGAAGGAATTGTTCAGGATAGCTAACAGGCTTCTGTTTAAGGATAATTCCCTGTATCTTCCATCTCATACATCCCTTGATCAATTAGCTGACAAGTTCTCATACTTCTTTTCTCAGAAGATTTCCACAATCAGAGACTCACTTTCACATGATGACCTTCCACACAATGATCCCCAACCAGCAGCTGCATTTCCATGCCTATCCCATTTCCGACCAGCAACAGAAGCAGAGATTGTGAAACTTGTTTCTAAGTCACCGACAAAGTCATGTATTCTTGACCCTATTCCTACATGGCTTCTCAAGAACTCTCTGGATACCTTTGCCCCTATATTCACCTCTGTTGTCAATAAATCTCTTCAGGAAGGTATGATGCCGGATACATTGAAAAATGGAGTTGTAACTCCACTCCTAAAGAAGACAAATTTAGATCAAGAACTCTTAAAAAATGATCGGCCAGTCACAAATTTACCATTCACCTAAAAAATGACTGAGCGTGTGGTCACAACAAGACTCAAGGAACACATGACCTTAAATTGGTGTTTCAAAGTCATGCAATCAGCATACCGGAATTTCCACTCCACGGAAACCGCACTCGTTAAAGTGCACAGTGACATACTGAGAGCCGTAGACAAAGATAGTGCTGCAGTATTGGTTCTACTTGATCTGAGTAGTGCCTTCGATACTATCGACCATACTATTCTGATGCATACACTTGAGACTAGGATGGGTATTAGAGGAACTGGTTTGGTTTGAGTCCTACATAGCAGGTAGACATCAATCGGTGATCATTGATGATCACATCTCCAGTCCTAAGGATCTTGCTTATGGCGTGCCCCAGGGATCGGTTCTTGGACCTCTACTTTTCACCATTTATACTTCTCCTCCAGGTGATATCGTCAGATCCTTCAACCTTGGACTGCATTTATATGCTGACGACACTCAGATTTACATATCATTCAAACCCTTACTTTTCTCATCAGATGTGTCTTCATTTCACACTATTGAAGAGTGTGTCAGCTGCATCAAAATCTGGATGTCGTCACACTACCTCAAACTGAATGATGATAAAGCTGAACTCATAGTCTTCCACCCTAAGCGTCTCCAACCCAGTATTTCTCTTCCTAAATTCAGCATCGATCAGTGTGAGATTCAGCCAAAGCATGAGGTGCGAAACTTGGGAGCTATTTTTGATTCCTCGCTGTCCATGGAGCCATACATTAATAACATCTATAGAAGGGCGTACTACCCCATTCGCAACATCGGCATGATTCGACGATACCTGGACGTCAAGACTACAGCATCTCTTATTCAGGCATATATAACAACTCGTCTTGACTACTGTAATGCGCTTCTTGTGGGTCTCCCAAATTATCTTATACACCAGCTGCAGAATACTGCAGCCAGAGTGGGCTCTCAGTCAAAGAAATCGGACCACATTACTCCCGTTCTTCACTCACTTCATTGGCTTCCCGTCCACTACCGCATAAAATATAAAACTCTACTCCTGGTTTTCAAAAGTATACCTGGTCTAGCTCCTCAGTACCTCTGTGATCTGTTCCACCGTTATACTCCTGCACGTTCCCTCCGATCAAATGACCAGTTTCTTTTGACAATTCCTGTGACTAGGACAAAAACATATGGTGACAGGTCACTCGAGACGACTGGCCCTCATCTCTGCAACAATCTTCCATCTCACCTCAGAACACAACCGGATTTAGCTGTATGTATGTATGTTTGTATGTATGTATGTATGTATGTGTGTGTGTGTGTGTGTGTGTGTGTGTGTGTGTGTGTGTGTGTGTGTGTGTGTGTGTGTGTGTGTGTGTGTGTGTGTGTGTGTATGTATGTATGTATGTCTTGATCGTTAACACATCTCGAATGAAAAGAGACCTTGGAGTAACCATTGTAACGTTAGACTTACAGATATATATATATATATATATATATATATATATATATATAATTATCCTTTATGAAAATGTATCTAAATGATATAACCTCTTCGTGTTTAGAAAGATAGTTTCTTTGTCCATAGTCGACATTGTCCCACTGCTAATGTATGATTGCCTTTACTGATATGTCAACACTTCGGCATACTCCAAATAATACTTGGATGTGGGAACATGTATTTCATCAGCCAACGGGCGGTGGGGTAGCCTAATGGTTAAAGCGTTGGCTCGTCACGCTGAAGACCCGGGTTCGAATCCCCACATGGGTACAATGTGTGAAGCTCATTTCTGGTGTCCCCCGCCGTGATGATGCTGGAATATTGCTAAAAGCGGTGTAAAACCAAACTCAAGTCAGTCAGTCATCAGCCAGCATATCATTAAAGGTTCTGCAAATTGCAGCGGTCCACAGATGATTTTATGTCATCTTCTTGACATCGTGAAAGATTTCTGTCATCATCTTGACATTACAAAGTAAACAGAACTGTGTTGCATAAATTCAAGTTGATGATTATGCACGTTGAGTGATTCATATCTGTGCACGTGCTTTTGATATTCATGTTCTAATGTTAAAACCTTTTTCTGCACATACGATATATTTACACTTTTCAAAAAAACAGAAACGCAAAAACCATTTTTAGAGGAATTTTTTGCGTTAGTTTAAGAGCAATTATGTCATGTAATGTCAATGGTTAAAAGGAGAAAATCCACACAGTTATAGACAAAGCGTTCGCCAACACAACAAAGGCTTTTGTTGTCCACAAGATGGCGTCGAAATCAGTACTTTGTATGGCCACCATTAGCAGCAATTACTGCTCGGCACCGTTTCGGCACAGGCTGGATAAGTCGACGAAGTCGCTCTAGCGGAATTATTCCACACTCTGACCCGTTTTGCCGCAGAAGCTGTTTCCAATCAGACAAAGATGACGTTTAAAAAGAAATAGTATATGTGTTTTGTTTTTTTGGTTCCAATATTCTCAAAATCACCTATGTGTTTCATTTTTGAGGAGTGTATTGTATGCCCATGTGGATCAATTTCAGGTGAGGCCTACCATCTCAAATGGATAAAGTAGCCCGGTTGCCTGGTTCCCAGTGTAGTGCCAGCGCAGCACACCCAGAGAACCAGGCTGATGGGTAAAGGAGACATATCATGGTAGACACACAATAATGTGTTTCAAACTTTTCCACTTGAAATCAAACTTCCCAAAACGAAAGGCAAAGGGGTTTATTTTGGGGTCTACTTCTGAATTCTATTTTTCAGACCGTGCATACCATTGCAAGATTTAATAAATATAAAATCAGAATAAAATATATACCGTTTGCTGAGAATGTTGAATGGTGAAGAATGACTGAAGCGCGAAGAACTCGTGCGACAATGTTCTGTCTTGTTACAAATTGTACCACAAGCCAACTGCACGTAGCCGTTACTGACGTGGCAGATGCTGCATGTTAAACACTTATTAACTGAGTTTAAAACAATATCAGATTCTGGATTTTCTCAATGAAACGTACAGCAACACATTGACACGTGCCACGGTAAATTTCGAATTTTACCGCATGTTTGCACAAACTTCATGACACGTTGTGAATGGACTAATCATTTCCCTAATCCATATACAATCATACAACTTGTATAACACTCAATGGAATATCCCATACAGATTTTAATGCTATAATACTGACGTTTCCTTAAATCAATTTATCTTTTTGAAGAATTCGAACATAAAATCTCATTTCATGGCAAAATGTCTGAGAACTTATTTAGAACTATTTGTACAAATATATTACTTTCGCGCCTAACACCAAAGAAATAAGGTTAAAAAGGAGCCTATTTTTGTTTGGGTAATTGTCGGATGTTCGCTTCAAATGTCTCTGTGAACGTCGAGTGATATTAACCAACTGAAGAGTACATTAAACTGGGTAAAGAAGGGTCTGTTTCGGTATTTTCCAAATTCTAAAGGGGCGATGGGGTAGCCCAATGGTTAAAGCGTTCGCTGGTCACGCTGAATGCCCCGGTTCGATTCCCCGCATGGGTACAATGTATGAAGCCCATTCCTGGTGTCCCCCGACGTGATATTGTTAGAATATTGCTCACTCACACACTCACTCACTCACTTAATTCTAAAAGTAATTACACTGTTTTGACTTTTTTATGTGATCTGCGTAATTACTGAAGATCACACGTGACGAAATGATTCATTGAAATGATAATGCCATATTGATGATTGAAAAACCCATGCAATTTTGGCAGTTTTCAATCGTGAAAATCCGTGTCGTTCCGGGTTTATACGGAATGCACGGAGCGCTGACGAATGAAGCTTCCCCTGATCTTTTGACGTCACAATCTTCTGACGTCATAGAAAGAAAACGTCACAGATATAGCCATCGCGCTTCGATACAAGACGTGTTTTGGTCTTCGACGTGTTTTCTATACAGAAATGGCAAACTCGTGGTTTCTAAAGGATATTTTATACTCAATAGAGGAGCTTGACTTTGGTAAGTTACTTTTAAACAACTCTTTACAAACCTCTGACAAAATATTCAAGTAAATGATGTACAAAGTCGTGTTTAAAATGTGATGTGTTGAAATGTCCAAATGTAAGTTAAGATGAGAGGGGTGTTTGTGATGTAGACCAAGATGAGAGGGGTGTATTGTGATGTAGACCGAGATGAGAGGTGTCGTTATGATAATGATAGCCTACTGCGATGTAGTAGCGTGTGTTTAAAGGTTCTTACCTACTCCACCAGTCCACCAGTGCACGGGGCGGTGGGAGCTAGGGCCTAGATTTTCGAAGCTCTCTTGGCGCTAAGATAGTAGTAAGTTAATGTTAATGTATGGCACTTACGTCTATCTTAGCGCTAAGAGATCTTCAAAAATCTAGGCCCAGGTATCAGTATTGGTGTTGTATCCGTGAATGATAAAACGTTTGCAACATTTGAACATTTTAGGAACAATATTTACCTCTTCAAAAATATATTTTGAAATGTTTAGACTATTCCTAGCGATTAACTATTACCGTGGAAAGAATCATGAAACATTACTTACTTCCTGGACTGACTCCGTGTCTGTCTATGTTAAACAATGTACTAGGTATAATGAAATCAATCAAATACAAATTTTGCAGTGCTTTGCCTTTAACATTGATCTGCATCGGATTGGGATCAGGTTTCTCCCAGTAACTCAAAGAACAAAATATGTTTGTTTTTATTGTTCTCTTATCTGTACATGTAAACAGGCATTTATCTATCCGACATGCAGCAGAATTGGTATTTTGGTAGAATGTGATTAACAGGTGTGTTTTATTCTATCCAGGTTCCCCGTCAAGTGTAACTCCTCGAATTGAAAGCCAACATAACGTTGCTGCGGAACTATGGAGAAAACATCTTTGTTCCGACAAACAGAGTCCAGAAAGTACTGACGGTGTCATATCACCATCGTCTATCACCCACGTGGACGTATCTACTCCAGTACCGTCGGCATGGCGGAAACCACCAAAATGTGAAGACAAACTCCTTGGCCATACAATCCGTGGGTACAGATTCCAGCGTGTCATTGAATCAGGAGGAACCGCCATCGTGTACAAAGTCATCAAAGATGGGCGAACATACGCTGCGAAAGTGTCCCGCCGAAATTCATTCGATCCAGAGACAATAATCAAGGCATGGGCCACAGAATTCAGCATCATGAGTCAGCTGAAACACAAAAATATAATCCAAGCCTATGACCTGTTCACCCACCGCGGACTCCAGGTGATGATAATGGAGTATTTCGATGGCTGCGATCTGGCGGACTTCATTGACTGGAACAACATCTCGCAGAGACAACGCGCTTTGAAAAAGATCTCAAGACAAGTTCTTAAAGCCATCAAATACGTTCACAAGGAGAACATTGTTCATCGAGATCTTAAACCAGCAAATATACTAATCGGGAAAGATTTAAAGGTGAAAATAATTGACTTTGGGGGTGCGATAAAGTTGAGGCCGGAAGATACAGTGCAGGACAGAAAGCCAACCATCAGCACTCCGCAGTACACACCACCGGAGGTACACGCTGGAGAACGCCGGTCAGCAAGTGACATTTGTATGAAGGCTTTTGATATGTGGGGTATTGGCGTAACCTTGTATGAAAGTTCGACAAGAAAGATGCCGTACTTGAACAACCCCACATTTGGGAAAGACAGTTCCTTCACTCTGTCCGATTTCAGTGTTTTGGAAAGACGTGACAGAAGGTTACATTGTTTGGTCAAAAAATGTTTGGACATGAATCCGGAATCGAGAATCACGGCTAAAACTGCACTTAAACAAAAATATTTCAGGCGATTCTTTTTCTAGATTTCCATTCAAAGCCCCCAGACCGAGATTTCTGCGCCTTAATGTGCCTTCCGAATGTCTTCATTAATAACACATATAAAGGGTGATGTCAGGTCGAATTTCTATTGCAAAAAGGTCCCATGCACCTCATGCTTGTTGAGGGGCGGTGGGGTAGCCTAATGGTTAAAGCGTTGGCTCGTCACGCCGAAGACCCGGGCTTAAATCACCACATGGGTACAATGTGTGAAGCCCATTTCTGGTGTCCCCCGCCGTTATGATGCTGGAATATTGCTAAAAGCGGCGTAAAACCAAACTCAGTCAGTCAGTCAGTCATGCTTGTTGTAAGAGGCGACTAGAATTGGATTCTTCTGACTGTGTTCATGGTGCACTCAGGTTGTGGATCGTAGCTCATGCCTACAGTCAACACCAGTTCCGTTGCCCTATCGGATGTTTTACCATACTTGGTAGTATTCTGTAAGATAAGATCACGACTATGGTGAAACACCATTTACGAATGGTCTGCATCTGAACCCCCAATGTATATATTTCAGTACAAACCATGTTGCCATCGGAAAGTGTTGTGTACATTCGTGTGTTTGTGAACATTCTTGAGCTGTTGCTTGATTAATATTGAATGTATTATTTATAATCCTGTCTTTTCACTGAAAAATATTTGTATATATTTCAACTGTTGTCTGATCGAATGTGTTTTTCTTCTTGTACGTAATAGTTAATAAACTATTACAATAGATCTGTATCTTCTTTTCGTAGTTTATGAACAGCATGGCCAGACCCTTTTCTTCATAATATCCAAGACATTCCATTTCATGTGTCCACTTATATTCTCTATGATTGCTTTCTGCATTGTGTAAACATCAGCTCCTTGTTGACCTGAAGTTTCTGATGTATGACACCTGATACCAACCGTACAGACACCTGCTTTTGTTAAGCTGCTCTGGGCTATTTGAGATGGAGATGCTCACATGCACTTGGGCGATGCAGGAATTCGTTTCGTCCTTTGGGGTGCACATAAACCAATGGTCATGAGTTTGAATCCGACCTAGATTCAACCTGGCGACGTTTGTTGATTTGTCTGCATCATATCACTATTGTGATGCTCGCTGTGTGTTGACCCTGTAGGGACTTTAGTTTCCAAACACTGTACCTTAAAAGTGACGACAAAAATGTCAAGTCAAGTTAAAGTGTCGGTTGTATTTAAGGCAAAAATGTCTGTGTCGGCCAAAGTTACCACATTTTTGCTAACATATGATTCAGTCCTTACCAATGTTCATAAGATTACGTAGGGTAACTACGAACGTAGTAGCAGACAAAACACGCACTAAATGCAAAACACAATGGCAGGTAGGACAACGAGAAACTGTTTCCATCCTGAAAATTGATTCGGTGGCGTGTCATTTGAATCGGGCTGAGAACTAAGATACATTTACTCTTGGGTCCAGTATATATTTCACAACGGACTGCCGGACAAAAGAACGTACATATATTCAAACATTTACACTTCAGTGTCTACTGAGAACCCCGTTTTCTTTAGTTGTCATCTATGTGGTATCATGAGTGTCTTACAGACTACATGTCACAGGCATCGTCATGTCTGAACTTTACTAACTTCTTGGCTTTATCTCTACATACATTCCTGATTGTTGAAACTGTATTTCAATCCCTTTCTTCAAACGTACCAGCACAAGTGTAAATGTGAAAACGATTCACAAATTTGCTTGAACGGAGTTTGGGTTGTTGTTTTTTTGTTTTGTTTATCGCCTAGTAATATGGCGGCGTTCTGTAAATAATCAGTGATCAACAGTATTAACATCGATGTACACAAATGGGATACGATGACATGAGTCAACCAAGACAGCGAGCCTGGCCACGGGGACATTAAAAATGGGCTTCACACATTGTGAAGTGGGGAATCGAACCCGGGGCTTCAGCATGATGAGCGGACGCTTTAACCATTGGGCTACCCCACCGCCCGGAACTTACTTTGACGGAGATAAGTATTCATTAGTATATGATTGAAATAAATATGTATTTATATGTGAATGAGATAAATATTCATTTAGACGCGTTTTGAGAGGACACTTAATATTACCGTCGCTTATCCATCGTCATTTTATTCTTTCGCCATTCTGTGACAATATCCATTTAATACGCTACATAATCAGCGGAAGGTAAGCCCTATAGTATAATCGAGGATAATATGTCACATACGTTTCTCTACAGGATACAAGAAAACTTAATCTTACGTCGTTTATTGCAGGTTTCAACATAACGTCAGCTATATGGAGCTAGTTTGTCCGACAAAGACAAAAATGTTATAACTGAGATTATACAGATAGACAGACAGACAGACAGGTTTATTTCATAGATGTGGCCATGAGGCCAATAGTACAAAATGACAACTTAGATTAAATTTTTGCAGAGCGCATGGACATGATTTTGTTTACAAAAATTGCTAGACGGAGTATTATGTTATGGTTCTTAGTATTTAGAAGATGTACAAATTTCTGTTTATTTGGGTTCATAATATAGATACTTGGTATATAGTGAGTTCTTACCGCTGCATATAAAGGACATTTCATTAACACATGATACTCATCTTCTGGTACATTTTTACAATAATCGCACATAGCTACACTAATGTCATTGTCTTTAGATCTTCTGTACGAAACTATTTTCAGATTGGTGGAGCCGCATCTGAATTTTGTTAAGACTCTGCGCAGATGTAGCGAAGAGAGTGCGATCAAGTACAGTTCAGGAACAATATCAGATTTAAAGGCAGAATACATATGTAATGATTTTGAGTGTCTTATATCTTGTGTCCATTCTTGATAGTAAATATCTTTACAACGTTGTTTGAAAAGATTTAAAAACATTTCAGAGTTTCCCACATTTTGATATATCCATACATAAGCAAATCCATGTTGAAATAATATTGATCTTACTGCTGAAGCCCAGTTTATATCTCCATTGTCGTCTAAACGTTTCAGCATATCATACGAGCGACGTGGGTAACGTGTGTCTGGTTGCCGAAGCAGACGTATCCAGAACGAAACAACTCGTGTCATATAATTTACATGTAAAGGGTATCTGCCGCATTCTGCTAAAACTGCCTTGTTCGATGTGCGATAGCCAACGTTTAAAACGTTTTTACAAAATTTTGAATGTACTTTTTCTATTCCATGGCGGATAACAGTTCCCCAAATTTCTGCTCCATATAATAATATAGGTTGTATTTTACAGTCAAAGATTTTGAAAAATATATCGAACGGAATTGTTTTATATCTGTACATGAATTTCTTAATAGGAAATAATGCTTTCTCTGCTTGCTTACACAAAACACCACAAGCTTTTGTGAATACATTTCTACAAGATAACGTTAATCCCAGATACTTATAATAGGAGACAGTTTCTAGTTTCTCTGTTCCAATTGACCATTTTTCTCTTTCTGCTAATCGACCACCTTTTTTAAAAACTATGACCTTTGTTTTATTTGTATTTATTGACAATCCCCATTTCGTACAATACTGTTCTAAGATATCTATCTTTTTCTGTAGGTTCACAACGCTGTCTCCAAATATAGCGACATCGTCCGCAAACAGAAGAATTGACAGTGCATTTATAGTCTCATCAATAAAAGCGCCACTATAGTCGCTGTTTATGATGTCGTTAACTAGTTCATCAATGTACATAATAAATAGGACTAGAGATAAGATACAACCTTGTCGTACTCCAGTCGCTGGGTTAAATATTTCAGTCATACTGTACTTCGTACATCTAACAGCTGCTCTTACATGAGTATACATTGAACGTAAAACAGTGCTAATTTTACCATGTAGACCATTGTTGAGAAGTATATATAGGAGCTTGTTTCTGTCAACGGTATCAAAAGCTTTTTTAAAATCAACAAAAATACAGTAAAATTTTCCACGTTTTTTCCTTATGTACTTGTGGATAATCGAATTTAGAACAAATATTTGGTCAATAGTACTGTAGTCTTCTCTAAACCCTGCTTGCGACTCGGAAATGATATCCTGTGTTGAAGCCCAAAGTTTTATACGTGTATCTAAAATACTTGTGAATACTTTGCTAGTTATATCAAGTAGAGCAATACCTCTGTAGTTATTGGGATCCTCTCTATCCCCAGCTTTATATAACGGAACGATAAGACCAAGGTTCCAAGAATCTGGAAAATTACCGGTGTTGAAAATCTCGTTGAAAAGACGTTTGTAGAAAGGTAATAATATCAAACAAGTTTCCTTAATGGCCTCCGTCGGAATACCATCCGCCCCAGGAGATTTACCATTTTTCAGATTCTTAACTGCATTCAAGATTTCATCAGATGAGATCTCGTCACCCAAGATATCGTCACAGTCTTTACATTGTTCACAATTAACAACATCATGGTTTTCAAGAAATGTTCGTACATGTATATCAAACTGTGTGCAGTCTGTTTGAGGGTCAAAGAGGTTACTAAAGTGTTTGTACCAGTTATCTGGAGTGATGTTTGTGTGTATGCTGGCAGTGTTACAGTACGTCTTGATTGACTTCCAGAACTCTTTGCATGATTTACCTTTTGCTGCGTTTACAATTTCCTCCGCTATATTGCTTTCAAAAGTAGTTTTTTTCTGTTTACATAGTGCTTTAAATTCTTTTTTAGCATCGAGGTATTGCTTGCAATGTGCTGGGTCGTTTGTAACTCTAAATGTATCAAGAAGTGCATATTTATATCGTTTCGATCTCTTACAGTCTTCATCAAACCATTTGGGCTGGTTGTTACTTCTGTTTGGTGTTGATTGTAAATGTTGTGTAGTAACATTTTTGTCTGCATGTGTAAAACAATATCTAAACAAAGTCTGGATGGATTCTAGAGCAGAGTCTACACTAACATGTATACTATCATCAAATTGTTGGGAGAAATACGTAAGGGATTGCTTCTATATATCGGAGAACTTACCCCTATGTTCTGTTCGCCACGTGTACCTGTGTATCTGATGAGCGGTGTGAGACTGAACGCATGCTGCACGCGCTCGTGTGGGGTCACTTGGTCTTGTCATGTCAACAACTAGTGGGAGGTGATCCGAGTCCGTTTTTGTTAGTATTTTGAAATTAATAAAATGATGGTATATTTCTGTAGGCACAATACAGTAGTCAACCACGCTATTTCCTTGGCTGCCTATGAACGTATAATG